TATTTTATGACTCCTTAATTTTAAATTTTATAAAGATAATGAATAATTTAAGAAAAATAGTAAATAATAATTTTATCTATTGAAAGGTCTTCTAACGAAGGGTAAAAAGTTCAATCAACATTTCTAAGGACTTTCATATTTTTAATATAATATGGATATAGATAAATTGTGGTCATTTAGAAATCAATAAATACACAATATAGTGTATTAAACTATTCCTATTGAATAAATATCTCTTGAAAATGAAACAGTATTAAGGAAATTGAGTATAAGAGTACAATTAGAAAAATCTATTGTCTTTTTATTTTGAATTCTTAAGATAACACTTATTTTGAGATAACTTATTTTTGCTAAAGGAAGACTTAGGGTGTGTTTGGTTCTTATGTTTCATTGCTCTAAATGTTGAAAAATATTTTCTCATTTTCATCTTATCCCGCCTTTATAATGTTTTGCTAGGTAACATATAAATATTTTTGGGATAATATTTTCTTGTTTACTTACCAAATACTAGAAAATAAGTAAAAAATACCACTTATTTTTTCAAGATACCAATTTCTAGAAAATAATTTTTCATGGAAAACATTTTCCTTTGTACTAAACACACCCTTATTTTGAGAGGGAGGGACTACTAATTTTAGGGTCAAAATCACTTTCATCCCCCAACTTTGCTTTTAAAATCAAACCCCACCCCCCCTCAACTTTGAACAATAATCGAACTCCCTCCTTTATCCTATGCAATGTGTATTTTACCCTTGTTATATCACATATATGTAATTCCTCTTTATATTATATATAATTTATTTATTAACCTAGCTATTTGTAACTTTTTTTAAAGCTCTCTAACATTATAAGTAGAATTATATTTTTATGAATTTGTCACAAAATTTAATATTATTTTTATGAGGCGAAATGATCTGATGGACCTTATACTTGTATGAGTTTGTATTATGAACACTTCTACTTAATCATTTGTCAATTGAACCCTTAAACTCAATTAAAATAATTTTTTTAAACCCTCTGACCATTGACCGAACTTACGTGGCATTTGTTTTGCTGAGTCACTTATAGAGCATGATATCACACTTGTGAAAGCGAGTGAAAACATGAATTTACTTGAAAAAATTAAATAAATACTAAAAATAAAAAAGAAAAACACAAAAGTGCCCAACCCCTCCAGTTTATTCCGCTACATCTCCTCCCTATTTCTTCCATTGAACCTCTGTCGTCAATAATTGCGGGTTTTTTTTCCAAAGTATTGCATAAATTAAACTAAACAACAAACCTTATTGATTGCTCACAAGTGAACCAAAGATCCTATTGTCTAATTTCACTAATAGCTACTGCAAAAATAGAAGCTAACAATTGGAAGATTTGGCACAAATTTGGTCACTTCATCTTTTTCTTCCTTGAAGTGAACATGATGATTCACACGATGAACAAACTTTCAACATTCATGCTTCGTCTGATTTGTTATAAGCATTTTAGTCTTCTTTTTTCACATAGAAAAATTCAATTTCAACATCGAAACAAGCTTCACGAATAAAGCACCAGCCTTCCTCTTGTCACTCATTAGCTTATTTGTTAGAGACAAATGTTCAACAAAGAACATCGCTATCTGAGGAAGAAGAACCATAGCAAACCTTAAAAATGATATCAATTCATGTTGATTGTGGTCGAGGGTTGGGGGAAGTGCAAGAAATCAAAGAGAGAAATATCAATTTTTAAATATTTTTGTAATAGAAACTTATTTTTTTTGCCTTTTATTTAATTTTGGTTAATACTAAAAAAATTATTAGGATAATTATGACATGGCATTATTATATGGGACATGGATATGACTTGTCATTTATGTAAAGGAGAGTGAGCTACACACATAGGTGGAAGGGTTTAAAAATCTCATTTTAATTGAGTTTAAGAGTTCAGTTGACAAATGATTACGTAGAAGTGTTCAAAATACAAACTCATACAAGTACAAGGGTCCATCGACCATTTATATTTTATTTTCTTTCTCCACTCTCTTACTCCATGCATTTTATATTATTTGACCCTTCTTGATATAACATCCTTTAAAATATTTTTAATTAAGGGTGTATTTTCCTAAACTAACAAAATACACCCTTAATAATGTATTTTGAAACATTATATTTGACTACTACTATTTTATGGAGTTATTTACTGGTAAGGGTAAAAATAAAAAAAATATTAAAATTTCTTTTAATTTCATAAATTGGAGAAATAAATTAAAATAACTATTTTTAGAATGAGGGTCGAGTAATATAAACGGTTGTTGTATTTCTATTATCTATATAAATAAACAACTTTTGCATTGCATTGATGGTTAAAATAATTTAAAATTTAAATAAATACAATCTTTAAAAATTTGACCTTAATTTAATTAATTATTTTGTATTTCCTGCATCAAAATATATTTGTGTAGTTATTATTCTCTGTTACTTTCACTTGTATAAATAAATATTAGAGTTTTGATTATTATTAAGAAAATTCATTTTCTCATTTTGCTAATTTACTACATTAGCACAAAATTAGTATCCCCCCCCCCCCTTCTTTTTTCGTCTAAAAGATGATGTACGAAATATTTGTTACATTATTAAAAAAAAAATGAAAATATCACAATTTTTGAAGAAATAAAAAGAAGTTCATGATAAAAGGATATACTCCCTCCGTTCATTTTTATATGTCACATTTTAAATTTCACTTGCATTAACAAAAGTAAGTTTACAATTCTACCCTTATTTATTATTTTTTTGAAGTAAACTTTTCAATAAATGATAAATAAATCCATCTTTTATTTTTAATTTGTTTGTTGAGATTTCTATTTCTAAATCAGATTTCATAGAGTAATGCAATGCTGAGAGTAATTAATCAATTTATGAAGTAATTACAATGAACATTAATTACTTATTAGTTTTCCTAGGTTGGTCAAATATCTATTTTTAAGACTAATTAACTAACAAGGGTATAATAGAAAAACGTATTGTAATTTATGTATTGATTTTATGAAATGACAAGTATTACGGACTAACTATTTATAGTAAGGATGTCATATAAAAAAAGGAACGGAGAAAGTAATAGGTATTTTAAAGATTTAAAGTAAAACCTCTATAAATTAATACTCGATAAATTAATAATCTCTCTAAAATAATATTTTTCTTCGATCCCGACTTGGGCCAATGGAAAAAATCATCAATTTCGATAAGATAATAAGCTAATATATTTTCAGAAGACCCCTATATAAATATATGGTCCCATTATTATCATAAATTAATAATTTAAAAAGTACAAATATATCTAAGATAATTTAGTGAAATATGATTCTATTGTGTTCTGATTTTTCTTAAAATTCAAATCTAGTTGAACCTCATCTCTAACTTTTCTTATTGCATCCAAGAGCTCTGGTGTTGTCTTTTCAAACTGCACCATAAAATTGTGAAGAGTTTTAGATGTGATAAGTGTTTCCATATGCGTAACTGGTTCCAAAGGTATAGTATCATCTTCAACTTCATCATCAACAATATTGTTTTTTTCCGATGGTATCCACAATTTCTTCTAAGCTCTGGACCTCTGAACATATATCACTTTTACATGGATAATCCAACAGGTTATTAACATCCATTTTATTGTGGTAACTGAGATCATTAATCATGACCTCAAGTTCATGAATGACGTTTTCACAAGTAGGTTCATTCAACTTCTCTGAGATTGCTTCCCCCGAACAAATTTTACAGTGTCGAAACCAATTTGCTATTGTCTCTAGCTGAACATTTGTTTTCCAAACAGGAATTGCAAATATGATAGCATTCAAAACAATGATCTTTGATGCATTAGTTTGTCCCACTTCATAGTCTTCTAATATCCTACGATAAAATCTGTTCGATAATACATCTTGAAAGCTCTTATTATCCTAACATCACAAGTTTAAAATTAGTAAGATACAATGATTTTGATGTATTCGTTGTACTTTATGTATAATATATATATTTTTTATGTGAAATCAATAAATAAGATACATAAATTAATAAGATACAATGATTTTGATATAATCAAAATTACCCTTCATCAAATCTCAAACCATTCTTTAAATTAATAAATATTCATTTATAGAGGTTTTACTGTAATGGTCCCACCTATATTAAATAATATCTCTATAATGCTCTCACCTATATTAATTTATAGATGTTTTACTGTAATTAGGATAAAAGGAGATTTTGATTATTGTTCAAAATTAATAATAATTTGATTAAAAACAAAGTTGGGGTTAATAATTTTTATGGAGAGAGATAACACATCATTTAAGAAGTGATCCGAAAAGTCCAAATCACTCATTAAATGTTTTTGTTTTGTTTTGGTTAAACTTATTAAATGCTAATACTGAATAAATTATGACTAACTAATGTATTGTGGTTAAATGTTAAAAGAGTTCACATATATATAATAAAAGAACATCCGAACTTACCGTTCACACTGGTATTTTTTTTAACTTTTATTAAATTAAAGTATTTACTTTTTTAGAATTTTCTGTCCCTTTGAAAAAAAATTCTTTCTTTGCGGATGCATGAATAAATAATTAAAAGTTAAAAAGTGTTTGGATTTACTTAAAAGTTGGTCAAATCTAATTTTAAGTCAGTTTTTGAATCACAAATATAAAAAATAACTAACTGACTTAAAATAAGTTAGAAAATGTTTGACAAGGTTAAAAATGACTTAAAATAAGTCAAAAATCAAAGTTCCTTGTGTTTGATTTTTTATTTTTAAGTTAAAAGCTACTTTTTTTGCGAATCCAAACGGGATCTTTGTCAAAAACAAATAGTAGTATATTTTAATTAATGGAAATTCCTAAAATATACATGATATTTTTAAAAGTAGAGTTGTATTAATTATGGTTGGTAAATTGGATTCACATTCACCCCTTTTTGTGAGTAGAAAAGTGTGAACTTATCTGTCAAAAAGAAAAGACTTATTACTAATAAAATACTATTCTTCTTCTGTCTCTAGACTAGACAGAGAGAGAGAGAGAAAGAAAGAAAGAGAGAGAGAGAGAGAGAGATATGAAAGGAGGGAAAAACAAGAATTCCGGTTTGGTATCAGATACCGAAACAGCACCACCTTGTGATGATGTGAATGAAAACGAGGGCGCTACTGAAGGGGATGTGGGAATCCAACAACAAGAATTGACTGCTAATGATCAAAGACCCAAACTTGCTGAAGGGTTTTATGAGATTGAGACCGTAAGAAGAAAGAGGATCAGAAAGGTTTGTTTCATTTCAATCAATTTTCTTTCTTTCTTATCTTTTTTTTATTTTTAATTTTATCCTGACTTCAATTGCTGTGCTGTTTTTTATCCATTTGCGAATGCTGTGCAAACCAAAGGGCAACATTCAGTATCTCATCAAATGGTAAGTCATGTATAACTGTTTTTCTTCTTTAATTTCTCAACACACAAAGAAAGCCCATGAATTTTGTTTGATTGATTTACAGGCGAGGCTGGCCGGAGACTGCAAACACATGGGAACCTGTCGATAATCTAATGACATGCTATGATGTTATCGATGCTTTCGAGGAGAGGTGTTTCTTTTATACTTTTACTTTCATGACTTTTTACACCATTGGATTGGAGTATGGGTTCTTATTTCTATTGCTTTCTTTTGCCTTTTCAAGCTTGCAACAGCGATCTACACGTAAGCGTAAGCGGACTCCTGGGGTTAATCACTCTGAAATCAAAACAAAACAGCAGCACAAGCAAGAACAACATTCCCCTGCAGATACTGTGCCTGCAGTGAAGCTTAGGATAATTGAGGAACCTGTGCCTTCACCTCCTCTGGCTACATTGGATCATGTGGATAGAAATGCTAGTGGTTTGAATAATTTCAAAGTGCCGAATGACAATGATTTAATGTTGGATTCCTCTCTAAAAGAAATTGAAGAGCAAAACAAATTGAATTTGAAGCTTAGTGAACTAAAGGGACTGATGGCAACGATAGAGGCCTCTGTCGAAAACGGTGCAATAAAGGCCTCTGTGGAAAAGGGTGCAAAAGAGGCTTCGGTGGAAAATGGGGTGCTGGAAACAAAAGAGGACTCTGTGGTAAAGGGATCCATGACAGCAAAAGACGCCTCTGTGGAAAATAGAGTGATGGCAACAAAAGAGGCCTCTGTGAAAATGGGAGTCATGGCAACAAATGAGGTCTCTGTGAAAATGGGAGTCATGATAACAAAAGAGGCCTCTATGGAAGATGGGGTGATGGCAACAAAAGAGGCCTCTGTTGAAAATGTAGTGATCGCAACAAAAGAGGCCTCTGTGGACGAGGGAGTGATGGTGACAAAAGAGGCCTCTGCAGATAGATCCAACAATGCCTTCACAAATGGATTTTCAATGGCCAATGGAACAGAATCACTTCAATCTGGTCGCTGCACAGGAGCTAAAAGGAGGAAGTCCGCTTCTGTTCGGAGGTTTATACAACAAGCCACTTCAGGTGTAGTGAAGGATCTCCAAGATGCTGTAGCAAATGCTACTAGTGGCCATTTGGTTGCATTAGTGCAGGAAGAAATTCACGATCAAGGACTTGTGGGAAATGTTTTGGGTTGTAATAATAAGTGTGATCAGTTCAAAGATACATATGCCATAACAGAAATTATCAAGGCCGAGAACTATTCACCACCTGATATAGAAAATGGCTTGAAGGATGTGTCTGTGACCTTTCGAGCTAAGAGGTCTGTGACTTCTAACCTACTTTCTTGTTTTAAATCACATTTTTCTTTGTGTCTATTATGTTTCTATGTCACTCATATGCAAAGAATCTTAGCTTCACCTTTTAGGTAGAGTGAAGTTAGTGAAGTTAGTGAACTTCTTTCAAACGAACAAAAGACATGTGCTGCAGATTAATTTTTTTTGTTACTCACTTATCTTACTTAAGCTATTCTTGGATGTAACTATTGCATGTATGGATGCTATTTGTAGGATTAATTGGCTTTTCTTGATTATAATGTATCTATCAGTGTCTAAAATCGTCCTGTTTGGTGTCTGTTGTCTTCAAATATAAGCGAAAATTGTTGGAGTCATAATACTCTATTATACGAGTAAATATTAGTCAAACAAATTATGGTTACTAATTTACCGTACCGTAGAATACCGAAACCAAACTTCAAAACATCGAACCATCCTAAATTAAATTTGTATGGTTATGGTATAATCTTTTAAAAACCGAATACCGAAATTACGGCATCGAAACTTTCAAATACCATTCCCAATGATTATCAAAGGAGAAAGTCATGAACTGACTTACAACACTCACTAGAAAAGGAGATGACAAGTCTAGTCACTATAAGATAATTCAACTTTCCAACTAGTTGTCAATACCTTTATGGATTATTGTTGCTCCCCCTGTCCGGACAGGATTTTAATAATCGGATCCATAGGAGTGTCAATGAGTTTACATAATATCATATTTGTCTCCTCAAGAATGTCTAAAGCATACTTGCATTCCGGAATAACAATACATAATCTAGATTGAGCAACCTCAATACCTAGAACATACTTTAGTTTTTCGAGGTCTTTTGTCAGGAAATGTTGAAAGAGATGCCACAGTATCTAACTATAAACACCAATACACTTGGAACTTCACTTTCAGAAGGAATCTCAATGATTGAGAAGCTAGAAACATGACAACTTTTCTCAATCTTTAGGAACCTTGCCAAAGCCTCAATTGCAGAGATGATGTGTTAGTGCCTGTTTGGATCGACTTATTTTAGGTGATTTTAAGCTAAAATAGGTTTTAAGCAGTTTTATAGTGTTTGAGTAAAATAAAAAAAGCGCTTATAAGCACTTCTTGTTAAGCTAAAATATAAAAAAAAAGAAGAAGCCAAAAGCCAATCCAAATGGGCTCTTACAATGGAAGCAACATAGCAAGGGTCATTTTAGTGTGAACTGTTGCTACAAGACCTATACTCAGTCATACAGCCAACAAAGTTCTAGAATAAGGAGGCCTCTCATTCTGTAACTTCCTGCACTACCTTAGTTCTTGGGTTGTTTTATCAATAAAATTTTAACTTACTGATCAAGAAGAACATATTTTTCTTTTTAGCCTTGGTTGTGCTGAAATTAAAACCCTTTCTTCCCAGAACTATTTTATAATTTCAAATATAATCTATAAGGTTCAAACTCTCGTTTGCCTTGCATTCTCTTTTCCTTTATGCTTGCTTTTGGTTACTTGTTCCCTCAGAAGTTATATAAGAAAGAAACCCTCTTGTGATCAGCATGAGCTAATTGCCCTCAAGATTTTTGGTTTTGTTTTGTTCCCTTTAGTATATAGTTTGCTTATAATGTAATTGGGTCTTAGAGTACCCCAAATATGGAACTGCATGTGATTTTTGTGATAATTGTGTCAGTTCTGTAGCAGAAATACTTATGCATGTAAGCACCTTCTTGGATGGGCAATGCGTGTAGGTGTAATCAGATTGATAACATTCCCGTCTCGTCCTTTCTGGAGAAACTTTTCTTTTTCACTCATGGTTATACTATTCTCATCAGCTTTTATCCAATTGAATACTTGAAATAGTGCCAGTTTCTTGGATAGGCAGCTACACCCTTGTCGCTTTATGATCTAGTTCTATGTTGTCAGCTTGCTATTATTTTGGTGAATATATTTTAAGTTTCTAGGTTATGTGATGACATTTTGGTATGACTTCCTGCAGGTCAGATGGAATGGAAGTTGTTGTGGATAACAAGTTTATGAAGACGAATAATCCACTTTTGGTAGCTGTTTTTCTTGTTCTCCACTTTCATCATCATAATACATGATCTTATATTTCTAATATGGATTATTTATAGGGACCTTTTCTGGTTTTCCAAAGCTACATCTACTTCTCTTAATATATCATCTCCAAGGACCTCTGTGCGTGAGTTTGTATTGTTAAAAAATAATAGTGCACTTGAGATAATAATTTGTGGCTTTGATATGTAATTTTATTATTACTATCAACTTTTTGGGAATCATCACTTTTACTCAAAATTTCTTTATGTATCTTAATTAATTCAGAATAAAAAAAATGTTGGCTCTGTGTCATTTAAGGTTTGATGATAGTCATTTTATGTGTTATTGACAAAAATAATAATCTACTTGTTTGTGAAGTAATATCAGAAAAGTTTATTTAGTTGTTACAAAACTGAATAGGCTAATGTAATTTAGTCTTTCTGTGTTACTTTATATCGTCAATTGAACTACTTTTTGCTTTCTTTTGCAGCTGATAAACTATTACGAGAAGCATCTTCAACATCATCCCTCTCAATGAGTGAGCTGCGGTGAAGGTGGAACTGGTCTAGCTCGACTTGTCTCTATGTATAGTGTTGGAATTTTGTTGCAACAGGCCATAGGTATTAAACCTGTTAGACACAATTACTAGGGAGGTCAGTAAATCTACAGAGTTAACGTTGCATTTTATGAGAAACCTTGCATTAGCTTCAGCAGTTTTTTCCCCAGAAAGAAAAACAAAAAACAACTAGAATTTTAAAGTTTTATCTGAGTATCACCCAATACATGCAATGTACATTATGATAATTTTCTTTTCACATGTTAGGTGGCAAAACCATTATAGGTTCTGTAGGTGCAGACATCACAAATGTTTGAGTTTGTGGAATTGCTCTGATGGCCATAATATGTTATGGTAACACCTTTTGTTAGATGAACAGAAAACAGAATTATTTTAATCTAGCTGGTGGACTTGGTTTATTCTTGTTGGATCCTTGCTCTCTTTTATGTCTCAATTGAACATTTTTTGCTTTTTATAAAATGATGTGATAGTATTGTGTTTTTTCAATTGGAGCAACTCCCAAGCAAAAGTTAAAAGGGGGGAGAGGGAAGATTAATTGAGTGTGAACATAAATTGAGACAAGTTGTTTTCATACTGGTTTGGATCACAGATGTGATACCTAAACCAATTCCTTTGGGTTACTAGGGTTTTCTTTAGAGCCTTTTGTTGAACTTGTGAGTACAGATGATTTTGATATCTACTATATCTAACCTGAGTCGGATATATCCTAAATTGATACAATCTTTACCTGTATAACCAACACAACTCTCTTCTTTTATAATTGTAGGCTTTGCAAGGTTATAGAGTAGTATGAAAGATGAAAGAAAGAAGATGTAGTACAAGTTCAAGTGAAGTGCGTAGTTTTCATTTTCGAAAGGAACAAACTTCTTATAGATCCTTGTAGTGAGGTTCTTTATGCTCTGAAGGAAAACTCAAAGGAGTTTCTTTCCTTGATTGAGTATGAATGATAGTACATGTCCATATTGTGGTCTATCATTCTACCGATCTTCTTTCTTCTTGATTTATTTCTTTCCAAACATGAGGTCGATCTTCTATCTTGCTCCTTTCATTCCGCAGTCCGTCATTTCCTTGGTCTGGTCCTTGATTAGAGGAGGTCTTCAATCCTTTCCTTTGCTTGTCTTGATTTTCTTTCCTAGTGGGCACTCCAACTTTAAGCTTATGATTTTCTTCCCTTGTAGATGATCTAATCTTCGTCCTGATTTGTGCATAGCAGATTAAATCACTTGTACATTGATTCAATTCTTTTGCTTGATATTCATTCCTTTCTGGCATTCAACCTACTCCTTTGTTTACCTGCAAAGTGATTTTGCCATTATTTAAACTTTACTTTAATTAACTTGAACCTATCAATCTCCCCTTTTTGATAATGACAAATAATTTGCACAAATAATACTTCTATACTTGCTTGTTCAGCTATGAGACTCACTCCCCTTAGCTGAGTGCACAAAAAACATCTTGTGAGTTCTCCCCCTTGCTAGTTGCTTGGACTATTTGTGCCATCTTCTCCCCCTTTTACATGATAAAAAAGAAAACAAAAACAAAAGAACACATAAGTAGAGAGACATACAAGTATGCAGACGTAGTTAACTATTGGATAGCAGAGCAGAGCAAAAAGAGTTTAGAGAGGTAACCAACAACCCTCTATTCACAACGCAAATGAGTATAATGGGTACAAACTCCCCCAGTTTAACAAATTAAAGAGATAGTGTTAAGATAGGAGGAGCAACATAAAACAATATTGTTCAATGATCACCCAAGAAATATTTTATTGTGTTGAAAACATTATACAACAACTATCCAGAGAAATCAACCAGAGTATCTACCAAGATACGTGATATTAATAGGCCGTAGAGCAGTCTAGCAGATGCGTTCATATCCTCAGAGTTTCCTCTATATATTCTCGTATCCGAGAAGCTCAATCATATACATTTTGAAAAGGCAATACAGAACAAAAACATCTCTAGATGAGATATTACTAAGAGATATCCCTTCCTAGGAACCAGAGTAGTAACAATCATATGAGCAAGAATGCGATTTTCAAAACACAAAGAAAGAGGACCAAAATAAGATAGTTCCAAACCAGGTTCAATAATGAACGCTTTGGTCACTTACAAAGAAACTTCAAAATTGTTAGGTCAAACGTCATTCATATTTGGCACATGGTACCAAACTCATCTTTTAACGGAAAATTATTTATAATAATGCGCTACTCTAGAACAAGAGTTTCCCACTCATCACTATCCTTAGATAAGCGAAGGTTTGCATGGAAGAGACGAACAAGTTCCTCGTACAATTCAAGGCCATAGAAAACAAAGAAGAAGAGGTAGTTTTTGAACTTTGAGAAACAAACTTACCCGGTGGTGAGAATCTTTCAGCTATTCCAAGTTGATGACATTTAATGCTTCAAACTTGTTTTTCTAGTTGATACCCCAGAATCAATGCATGTCTTCAGAATAGAGGGTGTTGGAGGGATCTAGGCGATGCTTTTTAGAGGCCTTTTTTTTTACAACAAGTCTATTCTTGGATGAAGAAAAAGGAGCATCAAATTCCTCTTTGGAGGAATCCTCAAAAGAACATTATGTTCGAAAGAGTCTGAAGGGCAGTGAGGGATAACTTTGGGAGAAGTAATGGATCTAGTTCGAGTCATCATATTTGAGATGGATGAGAAGAAAAAGAAGGGTCAAAGATAAAAAGAGGGTTTTCTAAGGGAGATGAAAGGTTTAGACAAAAGGGGTGATGAATTGAAAATACTGGAGAAGCTCGGACGATGAAAAGGCGAAGGAGAGCAATAAAGGAAAGTCAGTACAACAGACAAGTACATAAAGGAAGTAATTGAAGGAGTAAAGGTAAATAAAATAGTAAATAAATCTAAAGGATCCTAGAAAGAGAAAAGTGCATAAAACATTTTTCAAGCCTTTCACGAAGGTAACAAAAATATTCTTCTAACAGAGATTTTGTAAAAATATCGGCTAATTAGTTTTCGGAATTAACAAATTTAAGTTACCATTTTCGACATGCATCATTCAAGAAAAGTAGATGAACTCATGGGTTCCCAAAAGCCTTACCTTTGTCCATTCCAAATATTTGTATAAGCTCCTTTGTATATTTGCTTTGGCTAATAAAAATGTCCTTAGTCGACTGCTTGATTTGTAGAACGAGAAAGAAAGTAAGTACCCTATAAGACTCATCTCAAATTCTCAAAATTTCAAAAATAATATCATCCACATATATTTGAGCAATGAGTAAACTAGAGTCAGTTTTTTGATAAAAAAGAGTTGTATCTATTTCATCTCTATGAAATTATTGTCTACGCGAAAATTGTCGAGTCTTTCCTATCAAGCCTTTGGAGTCTGTTTCAGACCATAGAGCGCTTTAGACAATTTGAACACATGGTCAGAGCAAGAGGGATTTTCAAAATCATGAGGTTATTTGACAAAACTTCTTTTATAAAGTTATTTAAAAACACGCTTTTGACATTAATTTGAAAAAGTTCAAAATGTTTGAAGGATGCATATGCTAATGATATGCGAATGGATTCTAACCTGGCAACAGGGGCAAGCATTTCATCATAATCAATATCTTCTTATTGTGAGTATTCTTGAGGGACAAGTCTCACTTTGGTTCTGATAATTTTGCCTTCTTTATTCAACTTATTTCAGAAAACCCATTTTGTTCCAATGATTGAGTAATTTTTTGAATTTTTAGTAAGTAATCAAACCTGATTTTTTTTCAAATTGATCAAGCTCATCTTTCATTGCTTGTATCCAGGATTCATTATCTAATGCTTCAGTTATGCGCTTGGGGTCCATTTGAGATACGAAAGCTACTAATGCTCTTATTTAATGAAGCTCTTGTTTGCATCACTAAAATATGTTTTTAGCGACAATTATTTAGTAACAATTATTCTATTGCCACTAATCTATTCCCTAAACTTGGTTATTACTGGCAAATGAATATTTGTGTGGAATAAGTTATTTTCATAAGCAATTACAAGAAATGGTTAGTAAAAGAAACTAATATTTCATTTTACCTCCAATTATTTTCGTTTCCTCTTTTAGATTTTTCATCAAAATCAAATTTTCTCTCTAAAATATTGATTTATGCGAATACTTTTCATCCCTCGATCCTATCCTTTGCAAATCATCAATGTTTTTGCTGGAAAATATCCCAAGAGTGTCTTCCGATTGTGAAGGTTAGTACGTTCTTCTTTTGCTTTCAAAAGAATTTTAACTTGTCAATTTTCTTTTGTTAATAATGATGAGTAGTAGATTTGCACTCATTTGAGGTCTATTTCATACCATTGCTGATTTAATATATCTTCTGATTCGTAATCATTAAATATTTTTTCCCATATTATTCTCCTTAATTCAATTATTTTTATATCTTTAAGTATATATAAGATTAAAGTTTCATAGTTTTTTTATCATTTCATCATGAACGTATGTAGTCATGTTCTTTATCATGCTATGAAGGCTAAATGACAAGGCAAAGATGAATGTTTGAAAGAATGACTAAAAACATAAAAAGAAGTGTAAACTCCACATTGGGAACATTAAGGGCAGATCGCCTAATGGGCACTAGCTTGCCCAAGCTGAGAGGGCACAACAACTGAATTAATTGAGGTTGGTTGATGAACTCAAGAATTAACGGCAACACGCTGAATGAAAAAGGAGAGCAAAGTTACCATCTCCGAACTTGATAATACTTGGTGACAAAATTAAAGGCTTAAAAGGCGAACAAATGTGGTGATCAACAACACACCGAATGTGAAAGGCAGACTTGAATGAGCTCGCCGACTGAGGTTCAAACACCTAAAGCCTAAAGGAAGAGAAATTCGAGATGATGAGCAATTAGCAATTCACCTAATGGGATCGGCGAGGCCGACTATCTTCGCCTAATGGATCACGCATTGAGTTTTGGGTCAAATTTTGGGAAACTATAAATCGCTCTAAGGAGAAAGAAAAAAGGAGTTCGGAAAAATTCCATTTTGGGGGAGAAAGTTGTGAACATATTTTAGAGAGAGAAACACTTTTCCTTTGAGAAGAACACTTTCAGTTTTTGGGGTTTCAAATTTTGTTCTTGAAATTGATAAATTGAAGTTGAATTCAAAGTGGGTTAGCTTGTAATTGCTTAATTTCATGTTACCCATGGCTGCTTTCATGCAAGGTATAATTTCTTTAAGCTTTATGATTGGTGACTAAAGCCCCAAGATCTAGGGGTGCATTTATGGGATTAGGTGTTGATTTAATGTAGTGGATATTATGTTATGGTCTGTTTTGTTGTTACTCATACAAGAATTTGGCTAATTAGAATGGGGTGAATTTATGGGTTAATTTTGCAAACTTAAGTTCTACTTCTTATTTCCCATTGATGCTCGATAGAGATTAATTGGAGTGGGTAATTAGTTCAATACTAGCAATTTAGGTTTGATGTCTGTAACTTGCTTGAAAATAGAGGTTATGAGTCAGATCAATTTGTCTTATTTCTGCATCGAAAGAGAGAATAGAGTAAGGTAATGGGTTGTTTACTATTTCACACGGATGAGACCGAACGGAGATTCTATGAACTGATTCTATGATATCGAAAGAAGATTAGTGTCATTGAAGATTACCTAGCATATATATGAATGTTCATCACTATAGAGCAACACAATTACCCTATGTGCTATCGATTTCCAATCTCCGCACCCCTAGATTGCTTGTTACTTATTTGATTTTCTGAAATTCTTTTTTAATTTTACTATTGATAATAAATTCTTTTTGTAAATTTGGTGGAATCATCCACCCACTTGTTTTTTACTATTACAAATGAATGATTTACAATCAAATTTTTTTGATATAATTCTCTGTGTTATATCACTCTGTGTGATTCGACCTCGACTCTTTGTTGGGTATTTTTTTTATTGATGATAGTTTCTTACTATTTTAATTGGTTTTGAAGAGTGGTTGTAGCGTTATAGCAAATGGAGCCGTTGCCGAGGAATGATGGCTGAGAATTTCATTTGAGAAATTAGTTTGTAAATTGTTTAGTTGTAATAGATTGTTGCTTTGTGTCATTGTTTGCTGATTTGCAGGTCTAAAACAATGAGTGACCAAGGTAGTGACAATGATAGTCACTATGGTCAAAACGACAACATGCGTGATTTGAATGACATGCCCGTGAACGCCATTCAAATACGGGAGCTATCATGTTACCTTCTACAGCTCTGGGAGTGCAGTCTTTTGTGTGACCGAAATAATGCTACAACTGCTCCAATTAAGAGGCATGTTTGGGGGTTTAGCTCATAAAGACCCCTATGAACACCATATGAATTTTGTGTATGTGTATAGGCTGTTCATGTTTAGAAACATCATACAAGAGTCTATTAGGTTGAGTTTTTTCCTGTTCTCTTTGACGAGCAAAGCTGATGGTTGTTGAAATTGCCAAATGACTGGATCACTTCTTAGGAGGAATTGACTGAAGCCTTCATGGAGAGATTCTTTCACCCATCAAAGATGGTCAAGCTTAGAGACCGAATCCAAAGTTTCAAGAGAAATGAAGGTGAGCCTTTATATGAGACATGGTTGCGGTTCTAGAAATTACTCTTGCAATACCTAACACATGGTGTCCTGGACCATTTGTTGTTGCAATACTTCTATTGTAGCCTTAATTCAACCAACAAAGGTGTGGCTGATGAGCTTGCCCAAGGAGGGCAAATGCGAAAACCATATAAAGTGGCATCGTTGTTGCTTGATGACATGACCAAGGTAAATCGAGCATGCCATAGTAGAGAAGACCACATTTCGTCTCTACATCTAAGCATGATTAAAGAAAAAATTTAGAAAGAGCATGAGCGAGATGAGAACTTGGCCAAAATGATGACTCAACTTGATTTATTATCCAAGCATGTAATGGGAGGTGGAGTAAAATCAATGAGGGCAGTTGGAACTAGTAGTGGGCAGTGCCCGGAGGATGCCGAATTCGAGGTATTATACAATGAGGAAGTCCGATATTTGGGAAACCAAATGGGGTGTTCACACTTGAACTACCAAACACAAGGTGATAACCAAAGTTGGAACAAAGAAAGAGACGATGGTTGGAAAGATTGGCGAGGTTGAAATTAGAGAAACAAGGAGGCTAACAAAGATACATATGTTCCTCCCCATGATCGTCAACAACAAAAGGATGTAGCTGGGCAAGAAGGGAACCGAACCGAGGACATGCTCTCAAGGATCTTCAACAAGGTTGAACGATCCAACAAAGTGTTCAAGGAATTGAAAAATAACTTCTTCTATTCATCTCAAATGGTAACCTCTCATTCGGTGTCTATCTAACAGATGGCAATCCAAATGTGCAAGATCTCCACTCATCTCAATCCAAGGCAAAAGGGAACATTGCCGAGTGAAACTGTCTCAAATACCAAAAAAAATTGTTGAGAAATTGAGAATCATGTCGTGCCACAACGTTAAATAACCGACATTGAAACCTAAAAGAAAAGTCCTTTTTGATTCTTTGCAAAGCATTCTTAATTAGTGGAGATGTACACAATAAGCAAGCCTATGATTTTCTGTGCATACATGTGAAGTTTTCTTTTTGAGTGAGAGTGTTATGTGATACTAAAGCCCTTAATGTATAGTCAATGTCACGACCCAAGCCTAGGGCCTAGACGTGACCGGCGAATGGGGAACCCGAAGGAACCCCAAACAAGCCTCATAGCGTATCATTACACATCCTTGGTCGCGGAAGCAAAAAATGACCATAAGCGATAAGCATA